TAGGCTTTCCTGGAATACTCGGACACAGGTGCTAAGTTTGTCTTTGGGGAGAAATACATGGATCATTTCTTTGCTTTTAAGGTAAGACGGGTTTTATATGCATTGTATGTGGCAGGTAGACAACGGAAAAGGAACAGTATGGTTGGGAAATAAATTCATTACATGTCTTGTGATACCAGTGCAGTCACCAGGGAAATCAGCTAAGATGTAAACTAGTTCTTAGAGTGTGACGCTCGGAATAGAAAATCTGGAAACCCTACATAAAGACCTTCTTTTATAGCCTCACGCTAAGTGAGATTACACTTACTTAGTCTAGTTATAACAACATACATACATTACATGCACATACATAACAACATACATATATTGCAGGTTAAATTACATGTAACATACATTACAAGCACACAGGACTTTGGGGTATGTTTCTACAGAGAATAGGTTAAAAGTCTTCTACCTCTTCATTGGAAGAAATATTACCTCCAGCCTACCTTCCCCACCTATCCACAAGTATCCATGGTGCTATACCCTGCCATGCTGTTATATGCTGAAGTGCTGCGCAGACCACTACCTCACAGACATTGCCCCTGCAGCAGTGGAAATCCTGGGTGAATACTTCTACCACCTAGAAGAGGTCGAAGCTGCCCATGCATAAGCAGGAAGAATTACATTACATTATTACTATATTAATAACATACAAGGGAGATTTCCTAGCCCTCCCTTAGGAGACCTTGTGGGGAACTGCTGGAATACAGCTTATGTGCCCTGTGCTCTCTGACCCGCACCAACATCCTGTCTGGTTTTCCTCCCACACGTCGCCCATGCCATAATACCTGCTTAGGCTGGATTAAAGAACGTATAAACAAACAAACAAAAAAAGCACCCTCCAAACGAGAAATGTCTCGTTATTGGCTTAGCTCTTGAGGGACAGTACACAAGTGTGTCTGCAGAAAACTGTCAGAGCTCAGTAGTGTCCGTAGTGCACCCTTAGAAGTATGCAGAGTCACCTTAGTTTTCTGCTAACTTAGATGGACACAGTGACCAGCGCAGACACATCCATTGCGGGCACCCCCTGGGCATTCTGACCAGTCCCACTGCAGCCTTTGAGCACATAGTCTTGGAAATACTAGTTATTCATAAATACATGAATTTGCATGCATGAACAGTGTTATTTGAAGTGCGTATTTGTGTATGGAGATGCAGAGTTTCAGACTTCTGGAAAAAAAAAAACCCTAATGCTTGCCTTCTTAAACAAAAAATGCACATTGTTTTCCTGTAAAAATACACACTTAAAACTAAGAGATACTCTTTTAGCCCCACTACTAACTCGAGCAAGTGAGGTAACACAAAAATGTCTCTTCACTTCAGCACACCCAAGTACTTAAGTAGTTGAAAAAACCCCCTTAGTACTAAGCCATCTATCCTGTTGACTACTACGAAAGGCAAAGTTTACTTCAAGCAAGCAGGGAGTTAGACTTCTGTTGTATCAGTATCTTTCTTTCTATGCCAGGAGGATTCTGACTCCCTGAGAAAGGCTTTGCTTTGAAGGTCAGGTTTTAGGAGCATCTGAAACCAGGATCTCCCTTAAACATCAATAGCAACTTCTCCTTTAAAGGAACATACGGGAAAATCTGAACATCAAGCCAGAAATGGGAAGGGAGCTGTGAGCAGTACAATTTCAACTCCCTGCCCTGCATGTAGCATTAGCAATAACCATGGTCCAGAAAGTATCTTTCTAGTAAGGTCAGACTGTATTGCAGAATTGATAATAACTATGAAATAACACAGTTTATAAGAAATATCAATTAAAGAATTTATTTTATTAGAGCTGATGTTATGGGAAACATTAACTGCAGCATTTGTAAGCCACTTAAATGTAATTCTAAAGAGCTCTTTGATACCAATTCTCCATTGAAATGTTGAGGGATTTTTCAGAGGCCTCGTTAAATTTGTATGTAGCCAGACCTATACACATATTGGAGACTAAACTTCCAAACAAGTTTGTCCACAGAGAGAAGTACAATTCCAATTGTGTAACCATGCAGAGAGAATCACACTGCAGGACCCATCCACTCCTCCCATATGGAAACACACTAGCCCTTTTTGAGAAGGCTTCTGCTAACAGTTGAGCTCCATCTGACTTCGCTTCGCTGTCATGTTTGCTTTCGCAGTTCTCCCCATTTTTCTTGGAGCTGACAACTGTGTCCACCTATAGGCTGTAATGGTGTGTGTATATCCAAATTAAACTGGTGATTTTTTTTTAATGGCAGAAGTAAGTTGGATCTCTTTGTCACCCCCTGTTCAGAGTACCCACATCTTTGAGGCAGAGGCCTGTGCTCAGAGAATAAGGGCACTACAGCAGAAAGAAGGAACTGGTAGTCTGTAAGGCAGAGCACGGAGCTGCACTGTAGCATGTTTTCAGACAGTAGGTGCATGCTTTTTCAAAAAAGCAAAGGGGAGTCTTGGCCTTTTATTTCCAAAGGCATCTCGCATTTAACCACCAAAGGAAACACTGCCAATTAAGGCTGATGTTCCACCATAACCTCCCCCTGCTGTGCAGATATTCCCACACACAGGGTGTGTGGCAGCCCCATAATAACAGAAGGGAGCTGTTCTCAGACTCTTTGGGTCATCCCCATGCCTCCTTTTTTCTTAACAGTCCTGTCTGCCCTTCCGCCCCCCTCCCCCCGCCTCCCCAGGGCCCCTAGCCCTCTG